AAGACATTTGGTACTGGCTGCTGCTGTCTGCATATGTCATTAGTCTTATCTGATATGGGAGTTTTTGCTCTTAAATGGAACGTTTCCAAAGTTGTTCCTTTTTTGGAACAAAAAAGATGAGCTTTAAACCTTGATTTGTCTAAAACTCAGTCTTTGCCATAGTATCGATGTTCCCTGAGTGATTTTTTTTTGCTTGTTTAACCCCACCCCATGATTAATGCTTAATTATATAGGTAAGAAGCCAGATCTCTTGGTTCTGCAAAGCTGAGCATTTAGCCTGCCTACCTTTCTGCCTTTTAATATCCTGGTGACCTTTCCCAGTAACTCGTGGCACAATTAACTGTCATTCTCTTTTTTTTTTTTTTTTTCGTTGTTAGCTGTGATAGTTATGCCAGAACTTATGGGCAATAGAATAGCAAATCAGTTTCTGTAGTATTACTTGTGATTTTATTCTGGCATTGCTGGATTTTGCACTTATACCTACTGTTTCCAGGTGCCTGAAGAATCTGAAAACTTTCAGGAGGCATAATGAATTTTTTGTCATTCTTCATGTTTTGTACTCTGTTAGTAAAAAAATGAGCTTTATTTTTTTATATCTGTGAAGAAAAGAAGGAAAGAATCCTTTCTGCAGCCATGTTGTTTTTGCAGGTCTGCAATCTCTCTAGTTAACTCTTTGTTTTCTTATCATTACAGGGATTCCTCTTGCTAGATGCCAGAGGATTTTTAAGGTTATGTCGATATTAACTTTTTAAGGGAAAAAGAATAAGTTTGATGAAGTTTCTTTTGTTTCTCTGGGTTCTGGAACTTTAGGTCATTAAGTAGTTAGGGTGGTACCTACTTTGAGGGAAGTTACAGTACTGTGAACAAGGACAACAAATGCTATGACATGGATGGACTGACAGAGGATAACTAAGGTTGGTGTGTACCTCAGGAGATTGCCCAGTCTGCTGGTCTACAGCAGGTCTCGTGTGTTGAGGTTGCTTATGGACTTGGTAGAGGATTTTGTGTACAGAATTAATCCCTGCCAGGAAATAAGCTTCAGAGGTTGGTGTCAGGCATATTAGCTGGTAGATTAGCCTGTGTTGCTGTTTTAAGTTATGTTTCTAATTTCCAGTATATGTATATATAGTTGGAATTTAGTATTATGCTTACCTGGAACACTTCTTATATAATGTAACTTAAAATTGCCACCAAAACATGTCAGGTAAATTTTAAAAGAATTTCTGGAGGAAAAGAAGCTAAATTAATGGCATAACAATGTTCCTACTTCCACTCCTAATTCCTTAAGGGTGGAAATAATACAACACTTTCACTTACAGCTGTCAACCACTACTTCCTTTTTAAGAACTCAAAGGGGAAATTTTTTTTTTCTGTCTTCCTCTTTGAGAACTTTTCATAGACTGCGTATTCCAGCACGTGTAAGAGAAAGCCAGCAATACAAATTGTCATGGAAAGGGTTGGTTGTTTTTGCAGTCACTGTAGCTATTCAACGTTAGGTAAAGCTGCTGGTTGTGCTGCTTAAGCAGAGCTTTGGTAGTGTATAAATGTTGTCAGTGACAGTGAAGGCCAGTGATTTGGTCTATGAACAGAGCCCTTCCTGTGTAATTAAGGGAAGAAGTGATAGGCTGCTATTTCTATTAATAATATGTTAGCTGTAACACGGAAAGGCATGTGGGTGCTCTAAGTCTATTTGAATGCTCTTTACCCATGGCGTCATTCTGATCTTTGGTTGCATTTATGAATGAATCTTAATTAGAAAGTTAAAAGTATGTGTGCTGCATCTAGATAACTTCTAACTTCCACAGAAACAGAGAAGAAAATGTTTCTGGAGGTTTTTGTACTTGAACAAATGCATTGCATCAGCACACAAGGACAACCTTCCTTTCAAAATGCATGTTTTAATTTTGAATCTGTGTACACATGCTGCCCGACTGACTGAGATCAGCACAGATTGTACATCGATCCTGTTGCAGCATATTGCTTCCTGATCAATTTAATGCAGATCTACATTCTAGCTGCAGATTGACCTTCCCTGACCCCATGTTCCAGAAGTGGGCTTGGGAAGGGTTAGGTAGGCCAAACGCTGCACCAACGCAGTTGTCCTTTCTCTGAGCCACTCTAGGACACCTGGATTGCATTCCTGGGGGCTCCTTAGGTCACTCTGTTCTGGCATTTTGCCTGCTTCACAGGTCAGTGTAAATGTGCCTGCAGTTGAACAATTATGTATGCAGATGTGCAGGTAAGAAGGATTATTTTGGTCTGCCCTGGTTATCAAATCCAAGTGTGCTCATTTTCCTTCCTTCCTTTCCCACACAACTTAATGTTGAGCCTTCCCAGGATAAGTGTCGCTGGATAAATTTTAGATGATGATCTGAGTTTCATAAACTAATACTAAAGGATCTTCATGACTACTACTCTTTATTTTGAGATCTGTAACTTGTACTGTCTTTGTGTGTTATGGTTTAAACTTGCAGTATGCGTATTCTTTTATAATTGCTGTTTTGTAAATAATTGCTTTGTAATATCCTTAAAAGCCTTTTATGAAGGTGTAGTTTTGAGTCTAATGTTAGGGTACCTGTAATCTTGTAACATTATTTCAGTGACTGGATCTGCTTGCTGGAGTTATGCCTCAAATCTAGAAAGTATGTTAAACCATTCTGCTTTCAATATTGCTTCAGACAGTTATTATACAGGTAAGCAAAGCTCAGTGGAGACTGTTCTGTCTTGTCCAGAGCAAAACTTTTCAGACAATCGAAGGATTTAAGAAATAGTAAGTGCTTGGTTATACTTGTAGACATTGGGAAGAGATAATTTTTTTCAAGTGCTACACTCATGCTGAGGCGTCTCAAGTATTCTTTTTCATGGGACAATTGTAGTGGCAGGATTTTAAAATGTGAATTTGTGATCATATATGCACAGAAAATGTTTTAACCTTGAAGTTTAGTTGTGTTTACAAACACAGTCAACATGCATTTTTATTTCAAAATTTGCATTTGAGGCAAATCAGCTTTCTAGGTACAGTCTCTTCTATCTGAGAAGAAGTTGTGACTTTTGGAAAGTTCTGCTTGAATTTGCAAATAATGTGGTAAAAAGAGTTACAAGAAAAACAAATATTTTGGAACATAGCAAGGGGCCAACTTTTTTTAAAATTTAATATTAGCAGTGACAATATAGTTGCTAGGACATGAAAAAGGACTCAAGAGTGTGTACTGAGTCAAATATGAAAAATTCAATTCAGTCTTTTTTGTAATTTTCGACCCATGTAACTCCTGCTCTGGGGTTTCCTTTCCATGAAGCTGGAGATGATACAGGAATGGACAGGATTAACTTTCTACTGATCAGAGAATCACAGAATAATTTGTGTTGGAAGGAACCCTAAAGATCATCTAACTCCAACACCCTTGCTGTGGGCAGGGACACCTCCCACTAGACCAGGTTGCTCAGAGTGCCATCCAACATGGCCTTGAACAGTTCCAGGGATGGGGCATCTTCCACTTGTTTGGGTTTGGGCTTCTAGCATAGTAGTAATAGTAGTAGTTGTTGTTATTATTATTATATTCTAAAGCAAAATAATTTCTGTCAGTGCTTTTAATAATTCTTGATGAAATGTCCCATTTCAGTGGAAGAAAAGCACACCAGCAGTAAGTGACTACAAAGTCAGGTAGTTGTTAGTACACTGCATTTGTTCAAACAACTGTCAGGAGTGCATTTAATCAGTTGTGTCCATGAGCAGGTCTGAGGGCCATCTTTGCAGGGTTCTTTTGGTTTATCCATATGCTGTGTAGACTTAGGCTGGTGGAGGTGAGCTCCTTTTTTCCCCCCTCATGCCTTGTATTTCTGAGCATTTGAAAGACTATGAGCTGTACTTGCCTTTTTAATGCAGCCTTTGAAGTATGAGCGTTGTTTGCTGGCATCTTAAAAGAGGGAGGAGAAAGTTTATCTGCTTTGATAAACAGTCCTTTGGAAAGAGCTCTGTGACCTTGCTTGAAGAAGGATTATGATGAGAGGAATATCTTGTATATTTATTTTATATAATCACAAGTGGTAAATTCAGTTAAATGTGGCTTGTTTACAGTGTAAAACACTTAGATACCTGCCTGCACTTGAGGCACAGTAAGGGTATTATCATTTAAATGTCAGAATTATGATAATTTACATACTTGTTTAACATGCTAGCAGTGTATGAAGCCCAACTTATAAGTTTTGAGAACATTATCATTTAAATAACTTGAGTTGTTCCTTTTTTTCAAGTATTAGAGTGGTAGGTTCTGGAGAATAGGCATGGATAACTGTTCTTTATAAAGGTGTTAATAGGTTTTTTCTGCTTGGGTAGAGCTGTTAAACATGTCCCATAGCAGAAAGCCTGCATGACTTGTATTTTCCCACAATGCTAATGAGAAACTGCATTTTGAAGACTGTGGTGGAATATAGAGTCTTTATTATTTGCTGCAAAACTCAGAACTGCAGTTCAGAGAGAACTCTTGCTTTTCAGTTTCAGTTCTATTCTTTTGCAGGATTTTGTTCCAATTTAAAAGGTACTTTCTACACTATCGATTTGTGTTCCTCCATGCTTTCTAGTACCTTTGACAGAACAACTGAAGCAAATAGCATAGAACCAAGTCTTGTCAGCTTACATTGTACAGTGAAAATGTACTTTAGAAAATCCAAGGTCACTGAACCTACATGTTGATGAAAACGTTGGTGGTAATACTTATTTAGAGCATGATGCTCTTGCCACCATTAGGCAGTCTAATTGAACAGGAAGAGTGAAATGGAATAGGCAGCAAAAAAGCACAGTGAACCCCAACATTAGAGACTGTTCCTTGTTTCAATTAGCTGATCCTCTCGAGGCCTAAACCCTTTGTAGCAGAGAGTTCCTCTCTATATTGTGGTTTTGTCAATTGCTGGGTAGTAACTTCCTTTTATTTTTAATGTATGCATATTACCATTAGGAAATGTGATACTTCAGGTTGGAATTAAATTCCCTTTATTTTTTCTAGTTGAGAAGGTGAAAAATTAAGTGTTGTGCAAAATACTGATTCTTAGGAAGGTGTTTGACAAAACTGAAGAAATAAGAACAAATCTATGGCAGAAAAGGTTATGGGTGCACAGAATATTTCTAATATTAGCTCTTCTGCATAACTGGTCCATCATTCATCCTATCCTTCTTCTCGTGTTAATTCCCACACTTGGGCCACTCATAAAACAACTGAACTTAGACTTTAGCTCCCTTGTTTGTCCTCTATGATGTTGATGCTGTCTTCCTTCCAGGTTTGGGATGAAAAGAATTGCAGATTTTTAAGAGTTAGGTGTTTTTCACAATGCTTCCCCACTGGAGTCTGTAAGTAATCCCAACTGCTTCTTTCCTCCTTGCTACTGTCCCTTTCTGCCAAGTACAAACAAGTGCTAAAATGCCAGCTTTGTGCACCTTGCCTTCCTCTCCTGTCCAAGTGGCTTTGAGTATGTATGGTGATGGAGCAGCCAGACATGAGTTGATTTAGGGGCTGAAGAGAGGAAAATCAGGGGAAAGAGGAGTGCAATGAAAGGCTGGAAGAAACCTTTCTGCTTCTATTCTTCTATTTCTCATTCTTTGTAAATACAAGCCGCCAGTTCTCAGGTCACTTGCTCTGGTTTGAGCCTGGTAGCCATGGAAAGGGGCCTTCAGGGCTCAGATGCTGTGAGGGCAGGAAGCACATCTTTATAGTCACTTTGGAGAAGTGCTGAGGTGAACTTCTGACCAGCATTGAGGCTGGACTGGGGATAAACAATTGGGTGAGAAGAGCACTGAATACTGAAGATACCAGGGAGTTTGTGTGGGAAATTCTACAAGGATGGGATAGATACAAGGGGATCAGTGTTACTAGTGGATCAAGTGATAGAGAAGGGAATATTGAAACTGAATAGCAGTTGAAGTGACAATTGCACACTCGAGATTGCAAGTTGCCCTTTTTAAAAAAAAAAAAAGAAAAACCAACGGGAAACATGTATTGCTACTTCTCCTTTTTAAATTTACTTGTACCTTTAAGTGCAGATGCCCAAAGAGCAGAGTCTTGCGCTATTGAAAAATGATCGTAAACGTTACAGTTATCATTTAAGGTAACAAAGCTTTTTATTGGTGATTTTCTGTGTTGTGCTGTTAGAGTATTTAATTTTTAAAGATGCTTACTTAAAATATTCTTAGCATGTTGAAAAGAGCCATTGCTACGAGTAGAACAGGAATGGCAGTTGTGAGGAGCTGTATTTGTACTGAAGTAAAGTATTTCCAGAGCAGACAGATATTTTTATTTTTTTTATTGAACTAGTCATGTAGTTGGAAGATGGGTCATCTTCCATGAAAGATTTTAGGAAAAATAGTTTCAGCTCTTATATAAGACTGTTGTTAGTGAGGAGTGTGCTGTCTTTCTGCCATATTTGAGACACCTGCTGTTGAGCGCTTCACCTGTTTTTAATTGTGACTTGCTAATGAGACTATTCTCTATTAGAGTTCACTAGGTGGTTTTGGTTTAAGTTGAAATAGCAGCATGAAAATACTTGTTGTTTATGTGCTTCTGTCAGAGCTAAAATAGTTTGTGTAACACTTAATGTAGTTTTGAATATGTTGCTTCATGAAGAAATCTACTGATTCAGTTTGCATTTTAGTGATACTGAGATAAATGTTCTTATCCTTGAACTGACAACGGTAACTTAATATCTGCAGAAGGTAAAAGCTCTAGTAGTTTTCTTTTGAAATCAATGGTAATTTTTTTTTTCTTTATTAAGTTCATTATTTGGTTGGATAAAGGGACTTAGTGACCGGCTTCTTGTGAGTTTTGTTTGGTTTGGTTTTGTGCTTTTTGAAATTTTATTTGTTTCTTTGTTTTTCTTTATTTTCATGGCTTAGAGACTGAATCCTCCTAATATGCATTGAATTTTTTAGTTGAAATGTAGTGCAGAAATCTGAGACAAGACTACCAGTAACTTATTGCAGTTCAAGTGATATTGAGGTTCCAGGAGATGCTGACCAAAATCTTTGTCAATTAGAGGAATGAGAATGAAAGGTGTTAGCTGATCTTGCCTGAAGTTTTGTAGTTTTTCTGGTCTAACCGGCAAAGAGGTAAAACGTTTTGCATTCTA